AGACATTTTTATTTTTTCCTGTTGACCCCAATTTTTTTTTCAAATTCATCCTTGATTATAATTAAGGAAGATATAAAAATGTAATGTTTTCTCATGTTAGTTAACAAGATTTCCATGGACTGTGTAGGAAAGACGATAAATATTTAATTTATTATGACATTTTTGGACTCATTAGCAATGGCCTCAGCTTCAAGTGCTCTTGAGATGAATTAAGACAAAACATCATGCATATTCTAAGTGTTAATTCTCTTCCCTCTGATTTCCTGTTTCCTGACATTCTATAAGTAGGTCGTTTGTTAATTTAACTATACAGCAGCCCGAATATTGATGGCAAGTCCAGCCTCAAGAAATATATGAAAATAACCCAGAGAGTGGAGGGCAAAAGAAGACCACAGTCAAAGGGAGAGAATTCCTGCCCTTGCCAAACTTGAATAATTGCTACCATTTTCTGTATCATAATTTAGCATCTGCAGAAATCAAAGTTATTTTCTCTGGCTGTGACTAGAGTGTCATCTGACCATGATGGTAGCACAGTTCTATTGATTTTTATTTGTTATGATAAAACATTGACCCTCCAAGACTGCAGAATTTGCATTGGCTCTTGTGCCGCTCTTGTCTTTGCAGAAAACACACCATGCAAACTAAATGCTAGAAATAGCTGGCAACTTGAGAAGACACGCTAATTACATTTGCTGTTCATTAATTATAAAGGATACAGATGAAACAATCAGAAAGGGGCTACAAAGAACATTCTAGGAATGTCTTGATTGAAAATTGGATATGGAAATGCTGATAAATACATTGATGGAGAAATTATTAGTTGGTCTTTGTAGCTGGAGTTTAATGATTTTTTTTTTCTCCTGCTTATTTAATTAGTATACTCTACTCGGATGACAATAAGTTATGTCCTTAGTCTCGTTAGAAAGGAAGAACCTTCATCAAGTAATTAGGAGTTTCCTGTTGTATAGGTCTGCTTATCCAAATTGTCGGTTTTACTTAAAGCCTATTACTGTATAAATACTTTTCACACATCTTTAAGATGAGGCAATCAAGATCATGGAGTTATATTTTTATCATACTGTATCTAAATCAAAGAGTTGGGGGGAGAAGAACAATGCTATGATACGATGCAAGAGGGACTTTTCTCTCCCCCTCTCCAACGCGCTCCGATTCTCTGCTGTTGTAATTACTCCTCTGAAGTTCATCTCATAGACAATGCTAAGTGTAATGATCAACCCTCCAATTACAAATAAATTCTCCCACTATACACGTCCTCTTAAAGCCTCAACAAACACATGTTGCCATTAAATGAATAAGGGGCCGGCTTTTGCTAATTTAAGTTATCCTAATCAACTTTGTCAAATAGATTAATTCCGAAGCATTTCGCTGCAAACATTTGAAGAGCATTAATGTTTTGCCACACTGGGGGAAACAGCTAGCAACCATTTTCAATTATGTGAGTATATATGTAATGTATTTGTATCAAAAACTTTTTTTTCTTTAGTATTCTTTCTATTTTCTAATGCCGGTAATGGTGACTTGGAAATGTGTGGAACATCTACAAAAAATTTTTCATTATCTTTGCCCGCTGATAAAGTGTTAAAAACAAAAAATTAAAGGGAAAATGTTTTTCAACACGTCACTGGGAGATTTATATATTCAATACTGATTATAGATTCCTATGTTGAAGTATTCGAATTACTGAAGATATTTGCCGGAATATAAAGAAGTAATCTAATAGATTGCATGATGGGATGGATTGTTGGACGCTGGATAATTAGTCGGCAGATCATCAGCGTAAATGAGTTTGATTTCTGTTTTCTGTGAGTCGACTGAGCTGGACGTAGCCCAGTGTGGAGCTTAAAGTGCTAGAGGCGTAATCAACTGTCTCTCTCTCTTTTTTTTTTTTTAATGGGGTCAGTTTTAAACTACCTAATGTGGAATATTTATCATGTATCTCTGTGAGAAGCTTATCCCCGTTGTTTATTAAGTGAGGTAAGTTTGAGTCGTGTATACTTAAGTACTGTCATTAGTCTAGGGGGTATAGGTATGGGTGTATATGTGTGAATAGATAGGAAAAGTAGGGGCTTTTTTTTATCTTTAAAAAAAAATTATATATTTTTACTAAAAATGATTTTGCAGTTAAGGAATCAAATATTTTTGTTGATAGGCTTTCTAGAAATTAATCACAGTTATATGCAATTTCCTTATCTTATATTTTAAATTTTTAAATAATATTTATTGTGACGTGATTTTAAATTGAAAAGTCTTAAATACTGATATTTAACACCATACAACATGGACATAAGATGAAATTTTTTTTTAAAGTTTTGTCAGCATGTTGGTGATAAATTCCCAATATGTAGGGATTGATTGATTCCCATTTTGTCCTCTGCATGATGAGCATATACCTGTGACAGTGTGTGTTTTTTTTTAGCTCCTAGTCAGTATAAATAAGCGATGGTTTCATTGATGGCAGATCAGGGGAAGTAGGAGGATTTTTCATTCATGCCTGACTCTGATAGTAAATAAAGTAGTAGGTAGTTCAAAACCCAGACCTACTCATATTTTTTTCACCCCCCTTTTTTATTGCT